GGCCACCACCATTCTAGGTGGCTCTTCGTCACGATTCACTCTGAATTGTTGATATTTGAGCTCAGTGGTAACTTCTCTTCCGACAGATATGCCTCGCAGACGAGTGCCAACCAGAACGAAGCTTAGGTTTGAGGCTTCTTGCCGATCGCCTCCAACCATCAGCTAATATCAAGAATTCACATTTGCAAAGAAACATTCAAGGGAGATTTGTTTATAGCTGGAGACTTGCTTCAAAATAGGTTACACTGCTTCACATTATGCTCTCTAAACAGAAAATTTCATATATCTATATGAACAGTGGTGAACCCACCTACACATAATGCATGACACAATCTTATTTAGACAGATATAGATTCACACACAAAGATCAGTCATCTAGTGCTTTAGTGATAGAGTGAACTTAGTTTGTCATAACACTACCCAGATAAAGTCGGGGAAATAACGGTAACTAGTTATTGTAAATGTATCCCTTTATTGATTTATTTGTTATTCATCCCTTGAGTTCCCAGTAGAAAATAGGACTTCGGGAGTACATTTCCACTGTACTCTGTTCTATGTGTCATTCTCAGCTGTCTTCATGACTGCCTCTAAAGCTTTCAGTTCTTCTTCACAAGATCTCTATGATACTCTCGTACGCAAAACCTGTCGCTTCCTATTCGAGTTCCACTAGACGGTCTGATGTGTAATGTCACTCAGAGGTCTCGCCTTAGGTTGTGTTCAATCAATCTCCATTTTCTTCTGCATATCTGTTGAGTAATAATCTGTTAGCTGGTTCACTATTTAGTCAGTATTAAGTCTGTTATTTGCATTATTCGTTCTGATGTGTGAATGTAAAGGGTTGAACTTATTTTTAGGCATATAATTTCCTTCACTTATCTAGGCAGCATGGTTTCAACTACAAGCTAAAGACACGGTCGAGGATGTCAAAACCAGTCAGGATCGGAAAGGTAAGGCAAGACAAGCTTTCATCACTCTACAGTCAGTTCGAAAATCTTCTACACTCAGCATAAACAAGAAAATTTGGATTTTTGACACCAACTTTAAGTCACTCACTTCTTCTATATGGGTCACAAACTTGGCTCACATGTCACGAAAAACATTTCTAGTAGGCCATTGCAGACTTCCATCAACAGCTGCCCTCCTCACTGGCTCCACACTGAAGATCAAATGGTTGACCGGCCAGCCAGAAAGAATTAACGACAAGAAACTCTGGATGGGAACAAACCAACCAAGAGCCGATTGATTACTCAACAAATATGTAAGAGAAAATGGGGATGGATTGGGCATACGTCCAGGAGACCGTGGAGTGATATTGCGCGCAATGCAATCCATCACTCGAGTGGAGCCCTAATGGGAAGCGACAAATTAGGTGTGGGTTCGACGGTGACATGGAAGAGATTGTGTGACGAGAATATGACGGCATATAGGCAATCTTGGGACCGACTGAAGAGCGCTTCGGAGAACAGGGCAAAATGCAGTTGTACAGTTGAAGCCATATTTTCCACTCAGAACCGAAAGAAACAATAATAATAATAGTGATCGATAGCTTAATTCCCCTATTCCAGCTAAGCTACAAGTGCAAATATTTTACCGAATTCTTGATTTCATTTGAAATGCTTAAAGATCAGTTCGAATTAAGTTTCCTGTCAATGAATAACATCCAACTGTTTGTTGAACAGTGCCACACTAAGTAACTCTGTAGCAACCACATCTTCTAGCTCTAATTCAACCTGTTAATATTACATATAAAAATGTGTACATATCTTTACAGTGAAATCATAACTTTTCATTCAAATTTCATATTGATCTATCTGTCATTAGTGGAGTGAAAAAAACAACAACACAACATCGAATGAATTATTGATTTGTAAGAACAAATTATCGATTTTGATGAATCACAAGATCAACAAGGCTTAGAAATGAAAACTGTTTTCTATAAGGGAAATTTTAAACAAATCTATTTTGTCATATATCATGACATAATCAATCATGTTATTTATTTCTGACTAGGTGATTACAATTAGCCGCCTACCCTACATATACATGCCGTGTTACCACCATGTTACTCACTGATATGCTTACATTACAACAATACACACTCGCGTTAATCCACTCTAATAACTAGTGAGAAACAGGAATGTAACAAAATGACCAGCGGAGAAAAACAAAACACAACAGGATTTATAACTGGTACCATTGTTATCATTGTGATGTTAACAGTTAAATGGCGATTAGTGTTTATAGCCCTTTTTCTCTTTAAAACTCTGATCCGTATTTTTGTGGTATCTGTCTGAGTTTAACAGTTAAACGTCGCTTAACAATGAGGGTAAGGACAGTTGGTTTTATGGGGGGGGTGGGTAGGGTGTTGGCTGATTAAAATTTTTAAGCCCTGTCTGACTTTGGAATTTCAACATGTATCATGATACTAAAGTCCAGGTGTTTTCTTTGTGTGTGTATGTTTGATGCCATTGAATACGCCTCAACGCATGCAGCTTAAATCTATTTACCTATTGTTAAATTGATGTTAAAGGCTTGTTAATTTTGTTAATTTCTTCACTGGAACTTTGTACTTTTAATCAGTTCAACAGATGATGACCTTTTGTGAACAGTGCGAGGGAGAGAGAGAGAGAGAATACAATTGTACTTCAAGGGGGAGTATCTAGGTCTGTAATGAAGCAGTTTACTTAACAGTGATTAATGATTGTAACGTTGGCTAGTTACACAAGAGTAATGCATTCATCAGAGCGATAATGAAAGCCTGTGGCTAACCCGTTTTGTGAAGAGAGGTTTTCACAAAAACGTGACTTAGGTGTCAGGTTGAAAAAAAACACCCAACATTTTTCTGATAAAGAAACTGTTTTTTGTGTGTTTGTGTGTGTGTGTGTGCGTGCACAAACTTACCCCCTGTGGATAACGTCTGAATTAGTGACAAAGCGTCAATCATTATACAAGAGAGTTATTTATAAACGTAAGTAAGACAGTTTTTTTTAAATGGCAATTGAACATTGACTGATATGAACATGACAGATACCTTGATGGTGATTGAATTATATCAGATGTTACCCTAATTATACAAACATACTAGCTGTAAGGAAAATGATACAATTATATTTAGACCTATTTTTGAATGAAGTTTCTGATTGGAAATGAATATTTGCGGATTGACAGAATTTTGGAATTTTATCGGCAGTTTGGATCAGGTTTTAGTGGTTGAATGGTCTACAGGTTGTTCGCCTTGTAACTCGAAGGTCCTGGGTTCGAACCCTGGCTGTGGGTGCCTACTTCGTAAGAGTCACAATCTAGGAAGAAACAGCTATCCAGTACTTCCAGGCCTTCCAGTGATACTCTCATCGATGTCAGCTTGTGACCAGACTTGGGACTGGAATGTGTGCTATGTTCAACACCGTAAAAGTATTTCAAGATGTGGTGACGCGAGTTGTATTGTAAATACTGGGGGCTGTTGTCATTAGTTGTGCTTTGTAATGAAAGTGAGGTGACATAAATACCTTAGAACAGATTCCATCCTTTCCCAGCTGAATTTATCTGACATGTAGACGAATAAATTTTTTCCAGAAAGTTGACCGAGATATTACGGACGAGGATGTCAAATCGAGAATCGGGAAGGCGAGAAACACATTCATCAACCTGAAACCAATCTGGAAATCTTCCGCTGTCACTCAGCATCAACAACAAAATTCGGATTTTCAATACAAACGTCAAGTCAGTCAGTTCTTCTATACGGATGGATCAGAAACTTGGCGGGTCACAAAGAATATTTCCAACAGGTTGCAGACCTTTATCAACAACTGTCTTCGCTCTATACTGAAGATCAGATGGCCGGAAAGAATTACCAACAAGAAACTATGGGAACAAACATATATATATAATAACCGAGATAGCTAGGTGTGTAAAATAATCTAGGGTGGAGCAGGATTCAAAGAGGCTACATAGACTGATGACTG